TCCAAAAACTAAAACCTCGGTCTTGTCTTTATTCGAATGCAAAAAAATTAGCGTTATCCAGGTTTTTATGTCTTTAAGTCGTGCTTTTAGTCTAAGTAGTTGATTGGATTCATTGAGTTTCATGGACAAATATAACTGTATCATCAGCATAACAATGAAAATTTATCCCATGCTGTTTAATAACATTACCTAATAAGAATAGTAAACACAAACAACAAAGAATAAGACATTGGACAATAACTAGTTTGAAAAAGTAGTTCATTACTAAAACAATAATGACCAATCCAAACAATAATTAATCAGTCATGTATTAATTATTTTTATTTAAGGCAAAATTGACTATTTGAGCAGGTATTATTTTGGCTTTTATATGTGTAAGAATTTAGACAAAGTTTAACTATTAAATAAGCTATTTACTTTGGAATTTGGTTGAAAGATGTTATTCAATGTGACCAGAATAAACTATCATTTAGCACTGTAAGCAAGGAGAAGATGTTTATCAAGTTGCATCAGCAAAAATGATTTAATCACATGCTTTGTGTCAACATCCAGGCGTAGGAGATTCAGAGTACCTTGTATAGCTGGCATGAAGTTTGCCTCCCCAGGAGCTGAGGCATGCAGCTCTGATGTAGCTGTTCAACACCAAAAGGGTGTGGCTTGGACCCCGGAGTCAACCTTGGGTCAGCTGAGATCAGCAGTGTGTCCAGAAGGTCACTTCGTAAGATGAGACTGAGGGTGGCAGAGCTGAAATAGGCCTGTCTTCTTCAGTGGACAATAACTTTCCCAAGCTCATCTTGAAGTTGTTAAGTATGCTTTTAGTGGGAAAAAATGTTTGATCTTCTCTAATTGCCATTTCTTTTTTGCTTGGATTTAACAAAAAAATTTCTGAGCAAAATTTTTTTCTTTTCTCAGGAGTAACAAAAATGATGGAGAACAAGGATCACACCAGGAGACAGAGAAAACAGACCCACTCTGAACGAGTCCAAAAGATCGGGTCACCTGTGTAGTGGACTAGGCCTGATGTCAAAACTGACCAGATGGACAGAAACTGTCATTTCATTGATTTGAATCCAGAAATACAGTTTGACCCATCCTGAGACTTTCTTTCTTGAATTAATCAAGTGGAAAAAGACAATTCTCCATTATCATTACTATTTTACAAATGTTTGATAATCAAATTGTGTTAGTTCAAACAATGTTTACATGTTGAAGTGAACTACTCATTTTTATTTACTTAAACAGTAGTAATGATTTTTAGTCCTCAATTCAAAGTGAAATCAAGTTAGAGAACGTTAGAGAGTAATGATTCAATTTCTTGATCGTCTGCTTGAAGTGAGCAAAGTTGTAAGTGTGTTAAAGTTCAAGCTTCGGTCAACTAGAAAGTTTACTGAAAAGAAATGTCATGTTTAACTTTTACAGCGAGATACAGGAGAGGTGGCTCCACGAAGTCTGGTTTTTCCATGATATCTTTCTGTCTGTTCTTAAACAATCCTTGACTTTCCATAACACCTTACATCACAAAACACACCTCTGTTGGGGTCCATCGACCAATCAGAGGCTCTCAAACGAACCGGAAGTAGAGCCCATTTAAATATCGGCACTTCCTAGTTCAACTCAGAGTTATGAAGAGTAGAGAGTTCTTGGAGTTCAGAAAGTAGAGTTCAAGAGTTTTGGAATCCAGAAGGCAGAGAGTTTGGGAGTACCTGAATGCAAACGCAGGCATTCATGGATGCTGCTAAGCCAAACAAGCTGAACCAGAGACGATTTTGGGAATTATAACTTCTGTTTGGACAACCTCGCACGGCTCTCGAGGTATTTGGCTGTTCTCACTGAGACGCTGAACAGTGGTTGGAAGTGAGACTCCACGCCGGAACTGATCTATCTTCAGAAAAGGTAAAAGTCGACCTTCACCAAAAGTGTACTGTTTGGGACAAGCTGATTTCCGAAGGAGCGTGCAAGTTCTGGTTAAAACAGACAAATTCCCTCACACATCTCTCTGTAAGATAAATCTCAATTTTCCATCTTTAAACTCTCCTTTCTGCTAGAAAATCAATCCAGATGTTTTCAGAAATGTCTGTGGTGTAGCAACGGAAAACCATGGCCGTATGGTTTTCCTGGTTGTAAAGCTGATTAATTATGTTGTTGTTTTCATATTCTGCCAAATTAATGTAAATGTGTGATGTGTTAAACTTGATTCTGTTAATAAATGACCCACTCGCTTGGTGAGTCAAAGATAATTAACGTCTCACGTCCACATTTCTGTTAAATTCAAAGCACGACATCATCCAGTCCAGAAAGATGAGTGAACCCGTTTAATGTATGAATATATCTCAGGATATGTCATACTACACCTGGGAAAGGAGATCTTCTGAACACCGCTATGACACCAGGTACTACCTCTGATGGTGTTTTGGTGCACCACTAGATGTTCACAACCACATGTTGGAGTTTGTTGAGTTACAGGTCAGTTCTTATTCATTTTAGAAGCTGGTAGACCAGATAGTTTTTATTTTGTTCTGATGTGTAAAACGAACTAAATGAAAGAAGGTGGACGTTTTTGTTCTCACGACTTCAGTGAAATCTAGGTAAAAGTATAAATAAACTGCTGAAAGTTAAATTTGGGGATTAAAACATGGCGAAAAGCACAAAGTTTGCTGAAGGTGTAAAAAAATAGTTGACCTAAAGGTCAAACATTAACCTATTTCTTGTACCTACCTACTAATTTAGACTCTGACAATAATAGTGAGAAACATATTTCCATATTATTTTTCTATTAACTGCAGTTTTTCCAACATGACTACTTTTTTTTATGAGCAGAACTTAGACATACCCCACAACACCCCAAAAAATAAAAATAGATAAAATAAACCCACTGGAAACCACAGTGTAGATACACTGAAAATAACTCGGTTCAATAACATAAATATTAAAGCAGGAAATGGACCAGAAATCATTTTTGTTTTATAAATCCAGAAAGAGGTAAAACATCACCTCCACCTTCAAAAGCACGAGTTGGTCTCAATGAAATGTATGATTAGAAGAAATGCCATGGGAAGAAAATGCAATTTACAATTATTTAATTCATGTCAATTGTAGTTTACAAATGGCAAAGACATGTACCATTTCCATAAATGTACAATACAGAAATTAGGATCGACACAAATCTCTTCTGTAGCTTTTAATATTTGGAGCAGATTTTCCATCATCTTGGATGGAGGATTACCATGAATGCAACCGTAGCATGATATCCTGTTTTTAAACCCAGAACTTGAGCACGCAGGCTATAACCAAAGGTCTAAAATGCTAAATGAATGGTTTATCAGAGTACGCAACAGGACTTTTGCTGCCCCATAAGTTACCAACCATGCTGCTGAGGGTTTCAAAACATAATTCTTGGAGCTTTTAAACTGTTGTTTTCTGTTATCGAATATCCACTCTTTAAAAAGAAACCTTTGAATGAAATCTGCACATTAAAATGTAAAATCATTTTAAACGCACAAACACAAAGTGTCTTTGCAATAAGGCCATATATGCCACCTTCTTTTAGTGGAAATACATTTTTTCCACCACCCAGGTTGTATGAACAGGACCACTTATAATAATTGAGAATTTTTATTTTTCCTTTTTTCCCCCTCAATATTTCTTACAACAATACAGACATCACAGATTACATAGTTTTACAAACACAAAGCACATCACCACCTTGGCTGCTGCTGATGCTGCGGGGATGGGAGAAATGCTGGAGGTTATGGAGGGTGCCAGTTCAGCTGTGGGCACCTTTCTTTCAAAGAACCGTCACTCAACTAGTAGAGTTTAGAAAGAACCTGCCCTTTGGAGACCTTTTGCAGCTTAGCAGTATGAGAATAAAAAAAAATAAAAAAAGACTTGTGAAGGGGTTAAAAATAAAATGTCTCTAAACCATGATCTGAGCATGTTGTTTATCAAAGTGAGGTGAAGAAATGGTTAAAAACAGCATTTAACCACAAAAAAAACAAAAAAACATTTGCACTCTTCTGCTTAGTTTCAGGGAATCTTGACATAATGAAGCTCTCCATTCAATAAAACAGCTGTTCTTATTTTCATATTCTGACAATTTTCTAAGACGTCCTGCAGAAAAACTCCACCACATAAATCTGAACCATAGTCTTGAGTAGTTTCTTTAATTCCTGTACAATTCAATAAAACTTCAACAGATCTTCAAAAGGCTTCTTTATCTTTTCAAACATTACAGAAGGCTCTTTATTCCAGCCATTTACCCCCAAAACATTTATCCTAAACTGACATTTGACTTAAAAAAGAATTTCAACATCTACTTCAATTTGTGTTGTTTCATGTAACATGTGTGATTTTGCGTGAACTGTCATTTACACCCAACATTGTAAACACAGAATTATTTTACATGTGCTTGCACTGCATCTTAGAAGGGTAGAAAATTTGGTTTACTTCACTAGAACACCACTAAAAGAGAAACAGGGAAAGGAAGAAGTGGAGGAGACAAAGTGTCAAACTTCTTTTCAAAATGTTAAAGAGGTTGTTCTCAGTTTTGTTGACAGCTTAATTTAAATGGACTGGTTCTTTTTCAAAAATACCCTCATGGAATAATTCTGGAAGGACAACGTTCTCTTTCTGCAACAGAAAAAAAAAAAAAAAAAAGTAAATGTTTCCGTAAAGTCCTTATTGTAGCGCCTGTTGTCCAGCATCAATAAAAGGTTAGAGAAGCAGGAGAAAGTAAAACAAGGGTCTCAGTTTGAATTAAGAAGTTCCTTTCAGGTGCACCTCCAGCATCATGAAGCTACCAGGTGTCAGCAGGACGCAGCTGGGTTCTGAGGCTCTCCACTGTCTAAAGGTCCTTTGGACATTAGCATCATGGTGGAACAAATGTGTTAACCATTACGAATTGCTGGTCTCCATTATTCCGTCAGTGGATGACCAACATGAGTCATTTCAAGTTTCTCTGAGTATCTACCTCCTCTTAGAGCCAGTGTCTCAAAGACAGCTGTCTTGTCTCTGAACGCTCTTGGAGGCTTCAGAGCTTTCAACCCAGTCCACAAGAAAGAGAGATAAAACCAAATGACTACTGGGAAAAAATGACATCCACAATGGAGGAATGGACTGAACAGATGAAGAGGCGGGGGTTGTGCTCTTTACAAGTAGACACGCCTCAGGTCTCCAGGTGAGGTGATGGTGTTGCACTGCGGGCATAGCTTCTTGTTACCCTGCCATGAATAAATGGATAATAGTTAGAAAATAATCTGTGGATACATATCTAAAAACCTTCCAAAACAAATACAGTAGTTCCTCAATACTTCACAGTTCAACTTTCGCACACTCACTCTTTCGTAGGTTGAACATTGTACACATCGTTTCCCAGTGGCCTGGCCGGGTTAAGTCTCGGTTCGGGTCATGCTTGATTATTGTAAATTAACAATCCATGCCACTCACTGGTATCCGCCTCACTGAAGCTCCCACAGCAGCGATACGGAAAGACAGACCCCACCCCACCCCCTCCTTTCTCTTTATGAGTCTGTTTGTCACAGCAGCCTCAGAAAGAGAAAGGAGGGGGCGAGGTGGGGTCTGTCTTTACTATCGCTGCTGTGGGAGCTTCAGTGAGGTGGATACCAGTTAGTGGCATGGATAAAAAAAAAATAAAAAAAAATCAAACGCAACCCGAACCGAGCTGGGACATTTCCCGGTGCTCTCGATGGCTAGTCCGCCCCCGGGTGCTGATTGGCTCAGTGACCGTAGCATCAGTATGTCTGCTCTTTTGCTGTCCTCTTTTAGAGCGTTTAGAGCGTTTAAAGCATTGTAAAGAACAATGAAAGAGTGGGAAAGGTTTATAAAACCAAATATATATAAATACTGAAATAAATATAACATTCCTATTTTGCAGATTTTCACTTATCGCAGGGGTATCTTGAATGTAACCCCAGCAATACGTGAGAGACTACTGTATAGACAAAAGTTTAAGACTGTGCAATTATCAAACAAGGTTGTGTTCACAACAAATATATTGGATGATGTAAAGAACTCTCCAAATTAGTTAAAGAGTTAGAGGTGTGTAGTAAGCGTTCTAATTTTGTAAAATATTTACCATTGCTGAACAAACTTGTTGCGACCCACTAATTTCCCCCAATGATGTGTTTAAATCTGCTTGTTTGCAGCAGTGCATGTCTTCTCTGTGCTGCTTTGATAATATGCCATTGGCAGTAAAGCAGCAGGTGACAGATAATACACAGCAATAAACTGCATTATACATCCTGACTGGGTGGTCTCAACCACTGCTTTACACCCGTGCCGCCTTCCAATCAGGCTGTCTAGTTGTTGTCATGTGGGAGGCATGACAGGCCTTGTTTATGTAGTTAGAAAGTAAAATAAATTAAATCAAATAAAAAAACAAACATAAAAACTAAATGAATGCAAGAATGTTGGTTTTATTGATGAAACATTGAACTGCACCTAAAAGCAGCATTTTGTTTTACCTGTCTGTGGTCATAATGTTATGGCTGATCAGAGCAAAGTTACATAATACCATAAAATCCTGACTTTAGGTGACGGTTCAAAGCCGAATATCATCAGCTCTTATATTTCTAGCTGCAAATATCCAGCATGGCTACAGCTGCGTGCTGAACACAGCGGGCATAAACATGTTAATTCAGAACAAATTATGGCATTTTCAAACATTTTTCTCCAAGGTTATAAGAGTTTCTGTACAAATACTAAAACAAAATATTTGATGCATGCTTTAATTCTAATAAACATTTTTTGTAACATGCTTCCTTCATAAACTGAGAGAGCATGTTCCTGATCTGGAACATGCCCGTCAATGTTCAGCACTGCTCTAAGCATGTACAGGTGTGTGCCTGATACGATGCGCTCCAGCTGCTGGTCTCATTACTGCAGTAAAATGGCAGGGGGTGTGAGTGAGTGAGGCGTGTGGTGTTTACTAGATGCCTCAGCATTTACTTTGATCAGCTTGGCCCTCCCCTTTTTATAGCTATCTTCAGGCTAGAAGTTAAATGCTGAATACATTAAACCCATGATTGTAGAATGCACATCTGCACACACACAGGGAGAGACAAAACTATGGATACACTAAAGATAAAACAAAATGGATACACTAAAGATAAAACAAAATAACTTCCTTTAAACTACTGAATTGTGGTTAAAGTTCCTCATGCTTAGACTGCTGTTTTCTTTGTACTCAACTAAAGATCTTCAGGAGTCAGCATCAAAACTCTACCTTAAACTGAAACCATGCTACACCTGGTCATTAATATACAGTAGTCCATCAATATTACTCAGTTCGACTTTCATGGACTCAACTCTTTTGTGGGTTTTCAATGTACAATTGTACACGACACACGACTGGCTGATAGTTGGAAGGCAACCAACCAGAGCATTGTGCTGAGGTGAGGACTGGCCATCGGGAGCACCGGGACATTTCCCGGTGGCCTGGCCTGCTCAGTGATCGCTGAGGGGCCCCTCCTTTCTCATTCTGAGGCTGTCTGTCACAGCAGAGCAGAGACGCACAACAGGCGGGTGCACAAGCTGTTGTGTGTCTCAGCTATGCTGTGACAGACAGCCTCACAAAGAGAAAGGAGGGGGCAGGGTATGGGGTCTTTCTTTCCTCATTGCTGCTGTGGGAGCTTCAGTGAGGCGAATACCCGAGTGAGCGGCATGGATTGTTTATTTAAAATAATCAAGCACGACCCGAACCGAGCCTTTAGTCCCCCTCAGTGATCACTGAGTGGGCCAGGCCACCGGGAAATGTCCCTGTGCTTCCGATGGCCAGTCCGCGCCCGGGCGCTGATTATCTTAGTAACCATAGCATCAGTCAGTTTGCTCTCTTTCGCTGTGCTCTTTTAGAGTGTTTAGAAAATTGTTAAGAACATTGCAAGAGTGTAGGAAGGGTTAATAAAGCCTTAAAATATATACAAATACTACAATAAATATAACGTCCCTACTTTGCAGATTTTCACCTATTGCAAGCGTGTCTGAAATGTAACCCCTGCGATAAGTGAGGGACTGCTTTACATCAATGTGAAATCAAAGTTGATCAATGCAACAATTTTTGGTTCAGTGTACATGTTACTTAATTTTGATACAATTCTATAATTCCACTTTTAAGTGCAATGAGACTTTACTCCAATTTTTCAGACTGAGATATTTCAGTCTTCTGTCTTCTGCAGGTGAATTACTGACTGCTGATGGCAACTCCACAAACCCCCACTTCAGGAAACTCACACTAACCAATCAGGTGTTGAACAAATTTATGATCATGCTTCATAAAAAAAGTCTGAAGAACATAAAAAGTTAATTAAAACCTGGAATGATTTATTATCACTCAAATCTGGTAAAAACTAAGCAACTTTTCCTTCTCTGATCCAAATTAAAAGACTCTAAATTAACCATAATAACACTAGATGCAACAGAATCCTCTAACATGTCAGTCAGTCGGAGCAGATGACCATCCTGAGCCTGGTTCTGCTGGAAGTTTATTCATGTTAAAAGGGAGTTGTTCCTGTTAGATATTTATCTAGATTGACCCTGAGTTTCTGATCTGCTGCTCAGAGACGGGATTATAATGACATTATAACCTGGTTCTAACTGGGTTAAAGGGGACCAGCAACTCTAAAAAGAGTCTCCCAGGGATTCAATATCAGTCAAGAGAAAGAACTCATTTTGTTTGCTACATCACGAAGAAAGGATTTTGAAGCACGTCTCATTTTTCCTTACACATCAAACCACGTAAGATCCATTGAGATCACACTTAGTCACTCCCCCTCTGCGAAGGAGGAGTCTAGGGCCTATAAATCTGTAATGTCACGGGACAACGCCCCTTCTGGTTCCTGATTCTCACATCGAATTGTACCGGAGAGACCAGCGCTGTTTACTGTAACCTTTTCCTGCCTCGATTTTAGTACAATTGGTAAAACTGAATTCACGTTTCCTTGATTTATTAAATAGTGTGAGTTGCTACTTCTGAGGGAGGTCCGAGCCAGGGGAACAACGTTGGGCTGGAGGCGGGTCCTGGGTCCAAGAGGAGGCCTATGGCCTCAGCTGGCAACAGCTAGCTGCAGTGAACCGTGACCCGCATCCGGCTCTCGTTTGTAACATTTCTTTCCACTGTCACCAGCAGCTCCATGTTTGCTCAGAATGAGGAATTGTAATAAGAAGATTCAACGCATTCTGCTGGTTTGTTTGAACAGATAATTTTTGAGGAATTTGACATTTTGTAATATACTGAATGTGATTATATTTTAAATGGATAACTGTAAAACTGACATTTGACTTTATGTAACTAGACTTGAACCTGGAAATGTTTTAGACTGAATTGTATTATATGTTGTTATTTTTTGTATAGAACTCCGAGATAATTTGCTTTGAATTGGTGCTACATTAATAAACCAAATTAAAATGATTTAAAATTAAATAAAATAAAAAATGTGTGGAGTAGCATTTATTTATTTATTTTTAGCTTGAGATCATTACTGAAATAATTTTTGCCCCAAACTTAAGAGTATAAAACTATTTTCATCCATACTTAACTATTGTTCCTGCATTTTTCTGTATTTATATGCTGATATACAATAATATTGGATACTGTGTCTACATATAAATTGGCCCTATAAAATGCCTGTGAGGTTTAAGGAAAAAAGTAACAGAATGGGAACCTAAAGTGAGGTGAGTCAAGAAAATTGACAGTAGGGAGGAAATTATGATGAGGGGAGATAATAACAAAGAAATAAGGAAGAGGGACAATGAGAAGACTGTTTATCCTCCCAGCTTAAGAAACACTGTTGCCTTTTACGCTCTATTTACCACATTAGTACCAGCTAATTACACTCGACTGAATATATTAGACTAACTAATAACCAACACAATTACAGAGGTGTGCACATGTAGAGCTGAGGCTCTGCATAGAAAACAGAGGTTAGAGTTGATTACTTTATTCTAACATGTTAACAAGCCTTTTGGGGACTATTCCATCTAAGCTCTTCCCTGAGACTAAAAGTGTTTGCGCTGCCTGGATTGTGTGTGTAATAAGAGAACAGGTCATTTGGGAAATATTCCATTTTAGTATCTCCCTGTTGGGCATAAGAACAGAGAGAAACTCACTGACTATGAAATGAGGCTGCAATAACTGCGTATCATGAAGCACTGCCCTACAGAAAAAAGCAGTCTGTGTGTTTTTGGGGTGTGGGGGGTTTGTATGAGTGATTAGGCGTACCAGAGTCCTGAGCCAGCACTCTTCACAATGGACGTGCCAACATTGGATGGAGGTGAGCGGCATCGTGTAGGAGTCCTAAAGAGAGAGAGAAAATAGAAAGAGGTGATACCAAGTTTGCTTCCATGTCTAATAAACAATTGGGATTGTGTGTGTCCTGACCAACCAACAACATAAGACCAATAACCATGGAACAATACAGTCAGAAAAGGTAAAAACCACTGAGCAAGGCAAGCACAAAGGGGGCCACTGAACCAGCAACCTGCATGTCACACACACTGACACGACACCAGGTGGGCAACGACTAAAAATGGAAGACAGGCAGGCACAGGGATAAAATGTGGTACAAAGCCGTGATAGAGTGCACTTTTCTTTTCTTTAGAAAAGAACAATACATAAGACTAAAAAATGGGGATGATTGGGGGACGAGGACAAGCGGAAGACGGAGGGAGGGAGTGCCTTACCCTCCGTAAGGGCTGTGGGAGGAGCCTCTTTATGCTGCTGCCGTAGCCACCAATCACAAGGCCTCTGTACAGGCAGTACAGGCCGAGGGGGAGGGACTTAGGTTGCCTCTCTACAACCTCTTTGGCAAGTGACCGGGACCCCGGCCACACCCCTATGCTCTTGAACTCTGCACCTGACTGGATAGCAGGCTTTCTCTGCAGAAGGAGGGAAGGTGAGGGTGGGAGAGGAGAGGTAGGGGGTGAAAGGTGGCAGCTAATCATAGAGCCATACTGACTGCAAACACTAAAGTGTGACAAACACGCATGTGGACAAACACACATGGGGTCACACAAACAGACGCCGGGGTGTCCAACAGCGACCACTACATAATGAATAGCTTCAAAGACGACTTTGTCAGACTCGGATATGAAGGTAAATGACTTGATTAAAAAAATAAAAGAATTGGGGCAATCGTCTTTGCTATCCTGAAGCATGACAAATAATTTTCATTAAGATAGAGAAGAATTAATCATTTTACTGGTTTCAAAAAACGCTAACGTTGGCTGACGTTTCTTGTGTTGAAATGCACTAAAATGAGCCCATGAACAGCCATGATCTTTGCTGAAGTGAATTTAAAAACACGTTATTTAAACTGTTACTTCTGGTAAGCTACAATTGAGATTATGCCTGAGAAAAGTATGAACATGCTTGCATGCTATGATTTAATATTATCAGCATTTTGAAAAATTTTAAATATATCAAACATGTCTACTGGTTTATTTATGTCCCTATCACAGAGATTGTTTAAATAATGTACACAATTTAATTAACTGTGTTCATCTTTATGGCTGAAATTAAAACGTGAGTGGATACTTTGGATTCTGCAGCCTTAATTTAAACCTTATACATATATATATAGAGGTGCATTACTGCACTGGCTCTCCTTAATCTGTGATCGGAGATGTGACCAAACGAATGCTTTGCCTAAACGCCAAAACTGAAATTGCTCAAGCTACATCGCTGCTTTAAGAACGTGAACAACAGTGACTATAACAGAATTGTAAAATGGTTGTTTTTGCACTGATTATCTGTCATTTTTAGTTTTCTTAAAAAAAGAAAACCATCACACGTAGAATCTTTACTCATTAAAATAAATTTCCTTTTCTACAATGACCTGCAGATGGTGGTAGAAATGCACAAACCGCACTGCAGCAGCACTGAGCAACACACAAGCATGGGGAAGGAAAAAAAAAGCTCTTCAACTTCAATAACAGTTTAAATCGTTTGTGTTTTAATAGTGTATAAATTTATTAAAGAGGTACAATTAAGAAAAATACCTGTCTGAACTTGACAGGAGTGCTGCTGCTGAATGTATCTTTGTTACTGACTCTTCTCTCACTTGGCTCTAGAAGCCTGCTCTCCTTTCTACCAACATGTGTGACTTGATGACTTTCAGATCAGCTGACATAACAGGACTCGAGCACAGAGACAACTTAAAGAAGGACAGTGACAGATGAGCAGAGAGGAGCCGTGTGTCCAAGGGGCACTAAGTGATCGATCGCTGTGCCTTGCCCTCCGTGTTACCTCGGGCACCAAGCGACCTTTAGGAAGAGCAGTCGTTGGTAATTACCTGCTTTGCACACACACAGAATGCCAATGCAGCACTGACCACAAGCTTGAAGAATGACAGGATGACATAAAGGAGGGAACACAAATGTCGATGGAGGAATCTTTTAGTTGTGGAAGAAGTGTTTTGGAGCAATAAAAGTTTAAACCTAAATTAAAAGCAAACAATTTCACATGGCTTTAGGAATAAATCAATTTAAAAAATCATAAACACATTATGAACTAAGTTGGCTGTCGGTCACTATCTACTTTTGCAAAAAGGTTCACAATCGTCCATGTAAAACACAGAGGCTCTGATTCACTAACAGTTTGCACAGCTTTTTCAGGCACATTTACGATTTTTGTGCATCGCACTAATTTACAAATGATAGTGAGCTTTGCATCTTCAGCTTGGCTGTCAACAACACAGCTCTGCACTGGTACAGCTTGTCCACCATTAAATTAGACCCTTTGATATTTATGTTACTAAATGCTTGGCGAAGAGCATGAGATTCTCAAAGAGCAACGGTGTTTGCATCATGCATTCACCGGTAGTGTGAAATATTTACCAGCTCCAGAGAGCTGGTGGTCATTGTGTCTCTGAAGAAAACATTGAGAAAGTTTAGCAATCTACTGCAATACTGTCTTCAGAAAAAAGGCAGGCGTGTTAGAAAAAGTACTATTAATCCTCCTTCCTTTGATGGGCGCCAGACATTATTTCATCTACAAATAAAGTGCTAAAAAATTAATAGAATGCTGGGCTTTCCTTATTCTGCATGACGTTTTAAAAGGGAGACATATCTTATTTGTCCTTATTAATCCAAAAAAACAATCAATAAAAACTACAAACTTATGTTTTACTTAACGCAATACTTTATTCAATTGTGCTCCAATGTGACTGTCACCATGCCTTCCAGAGCTATAAGTAAAAGTCCAATTTATTGTGTGTTCGTCCACGACATACTTGGTTTAAATTTGATGACAGAATAACACCATGAATTATGTAGCAGAACACATATTAACAGTAGAGTTTGCACTTGCAAAGCCGTGCAAGAGCAACCATCAAATCACAAAAGCAGCATGAGCACCTAAAAAAATTAACAACTAAGAAGATGACATGTTTATATGTCCAACATGCACATGTAAGCAACACCAGTATCTAACATGTTGAATCGAACACACAAATTTTTGGTTTAAACATTTCCAAACCATGGCTCCACATATTCTTGGTAATTCATAAAGTTTATAAAACCCTACGTTGAAGCCACGTCTCTTAAATGTTGTATAAGGAATTGGAACCACCCCCTGTGGAGTAGCAGCTCCACAGGGGGTGGTTCCCATTGTTAACAAGCAGTACGCTGATTTCCTCTGTCGTTGAGGGACTTGAATAGTAAATGTTTGTAGTTTTTGAGATGCATGTTTTTCTGGAATGGAACTGAACAGGGAATACAAGTGAACCGTTGGCCCTATTTACATGGACACGATGGGGGGAAACTTAAGTTTTTTTCGTATGTTAATTAGAGGAAAAGATTTGCGTTGACGCGGTCGGATTTTGTGTTTACATGCATCTGGAGGAATCTCCCCCGCCCTCCCGAATCCGCTGTAGTTACCATGCCGGGTCATTAGATGGCGCTGCAAATTTTGTACCTTCACCTAATGTGCATGCGTGCTGCCTCGGCACGCTCCTTTCCTCTGGGCTAAAAGCTCAGCTAACAACAACTTAACAACAAGTTAAAGCTGGATTGTGGATAAGAGTCAACAGATTAGACACCAAGCGGGACCGCATCTTCTAACAGCTCCACAACGGTCGCTGAGTGGACCAGAACCGAGTCGATGATGTCAAACTTTACTCCGTGATGATCAGTAGCTGATTTACTGCAGGTAAATCAAATGTTCTTAATAATGTTTGCTTGTGTTTACTTCGGTTACAAAACAACCAAGTTTTTATTTTTTCCTGAAAGAAGAAGGAGCTGTCTCCCACCAGCGGTGAACCGGTTCTGAACGAGGCTCGGCCCAGGTGCAGTGCAGGAGGACGTATAAGAGAGAGATGTTGGATGAACTATTTATTTAAAATTTCCCTAATTTCTTTTATTCAATCCATTTAATGTTTTAAACTGCATTAATCAAAGGAGTGACTTCCTGAAAGAGCAAGATGAACAACGTGGGACCAGATTCCAGGATGAAAACAAGAGTCCAGTTCATTAATGCAGTTTACAGTTAACGTGTTTTTAATAGTGTGTTCAGTTTAATTATCAGTGTTTGTGTGACATACAGTTTGTGGTGTTGAATAAATAAATAAAATAAAAATTAAACCTGATGTCTTCAACACACAATATGTTTAGCATCATTTTAATCACATAATTTGAATTACATAATGTCCAAATAGCTTCATTTAACTCAGAGAGCTTCATTATATCTCAAACTAAAGATAGATACTGTTTATTATTATTAAACTGTTATTATTTAGCACATTTAGATGTTATAGTGCAGCGTGACATGTGCGCGTGCCTCGTTCTATAAACAGTGATATTAGAACTGGATCAGACTGTGTCTCTTCCATCACAGATGTCGGTCACAGCACCTGGAATCTGACGTAGATTAACTACGAGATTAAAAATATATTCCATCAGTCGTAGTTCAGAAAGCAGTGTATCTGCTGCCATATTGATAGAAATATAGCGTCTGTCAGCGCGTGCGTGTGCGCATGTGGTTTAACACAAAGCCTCAGCGGGAGATGTTTACATTATCAGCGGGGGATCAGCGAAAAACCTCCACTCTGGAAGGTGGGTTCAGAAACCTCCAGATTCTAAGAGAGGGGCCACTGGTGTTGTGTAAATGATCAGCAGAACCGCAGTCAGAAAGGAGCGGATATACTCAAAATAAGCGCCGTGTAAACGGCCCCTTAATGTATTGGTGTAAGATATTCAAGTGGGTAGGAGTGGCATTGTGCATAAGAACAGAGGTAGATTATTTTTTTTTTTTGCTTATCCGAAACGGCTCAGTGACGGATCTTTGCAAGTGGAGGGAACAATTTTATCCATCACCATCTGCCAATACTGGATTTGGCTACCAAAGATTAATCTTCCCCAATCATTTGATAAAACTATTCTTTTAAGTAAGGTCCATCCATCCTTTCAAGTAAGGTCCATCCATCCTTTCATCCATTTTCTTCCGCTTATCCGGAGTATAAGTTTAAGTAAGGTAAAAAACTATAAGTATAGTTTTCTCAAATGATTGGGGTGCCCAGTTTACACACTCACACACATATGTACTATATATATAAATAAACAAATATATGGGGTGGTGGCAGAGAGGTTAGAGAAGGTAACCTGTTCAACTCCCCGGACCGACAACATCAAAATGTGTGTGGAAAAGGTGAAACACTCAAACCTGCCTCCGCCCTCATTTGCCCCATTCTGGGCCCTTGAGCAAGGCCTTTAACACCCACCATCTACTCCCCCCGGGAGCCCTAGATGGCAGCGCTCTGCTCCACAAAGAGGACTGTGGTAGCTCGGTGGTTTGTGGTTGCGTCAGGAAGGGCATCCGGCATAAAAACAATTGCCAAGTCTTTGTGCGAGTTAGTTCGCTGTGGCAACCCCTGAAGAAGGGAGCAGCGGAAAGAAATATATGGACATGTGGTGGTGGCCATCTTGGATTTTGATGTGGTATCCCAGTTTTTGCTGGTGACCCAAAATGGACGTTGTCACAGTGCTTATTTTTCAAGTTACCTAACTTACAAAGTTTACATTTATGGATACAGTATATGGTGGCAGCAATGTTGGATTTTGACATGTTAACCCAATTTTTTGATAAGGACATTTCTTACCCCTAGATGTAGCTGCACACCAAAATGGAAGTTGGCATGTTGTATATTTTTCAAGTTATGCAACTCACAAGGTTTACATATAAGGCAGCAGCCTTGGATTTTGAAGTGGAAACCCAATTTTCAATAGGGATTTTTGTTTCCACTTAAATGCAGCCATAAACCAAAATGGATGCTGATATCTCATATATTTCTCAAATTACGTTTTTTTTAATTTATCATGTCCTGGATGACTGAGAATCTTCACCAGCATACCAAGCTCATAAGACTGATATACGGTATTTCCAATTCCCTACTTTGCTCCACAAAGGGGATAGGAGAGTGTGTTCCAAATATCAAGGGATCATACTTCCCAGCCTACCTGAGGAGTGTATTTCAAAGTACTGGAAGGGAAGTTCCAACAGAGTGTCAATTCCCAGATTCAGTACAAGACGTGTGGCCTTTGCCCTGGTCGGGGAACAGTGGACCAGATTGCAGGGGTCAGTTTTAAGGACTAGCCAGTCCCTATAAAACAAAAGCAAGAGCAGAGCTGTCTGCATCCTCGGTACAAAATTCAACCCCATTTACAGTATGGGTAGGACTCCTGCTACCAATACTGTTTGTGGTATTCATGGACAGAATCTCAAGGCATAAAGAACAAGATCCTGGATTCAAGAAGCTGAAATGAGCTTCCTTCATTTTGGATGGACTCACCCCGGCACTCTGGCGATAGAGTGAGGAGCTTCATCATCCAGGAGAAGCTTGGATTACAACCGCTGATCCTCTGTACTGAAAGGAGTCAGCTGAGGTTGTTCAAACTTCTGATTTGAATGCTTCCTGGATGCCCCACTGGGAGGAGACCTGGGGGCAGACCTTGAACTTGTTGGTAGGATTATATATCCTCTCTGGATAGGACCCTCCCCCATCCCCCCACCCCGCAAGGGGAACTGGAGTATTGCTAGGGAGAGGGATGCCTGGGTGTCCCTCGTGGATCAATTCATCCCTCATCCCGATCATGACTAAGCGGTAAAAGACGGATGGATGGATGAATATATAGAAGCCAAACACTCTTCACATAAAGTTTTACTCACCATGCAGATGAGACACTTGTATCGGTCTCCTCGCAGTATCTGCTTTTCTAGCTCCCTGATTCGGGCCTTCAACGCCTCCATAGTAGTTGCTGTTGATTCTTCCTCAGTCACTCTGGGACAAAAAAAAAAAGATACTTTTTTTATACTAAAGTTGCAATAATAAGATCAGTTTTTAGTGAGAATAAAACTACCACTGAAGTCCCACTCAAGTCATTAATATCATAAAAACTAATCTCAGTTGTTCATATTTGTCTATTTAAAAAAGTTTTTGCCAAAATAAATACATACATAAATCTCATAACTAAAAATATCAATTGTTGAATTTGTATTTTCTAATTAAAAAAAGGATCTACATGTATGTATAAGCTAACTTGACTACATAGAACTATACACTAGAGATGATAGTTTACTTTGTATCCACATTGTAATAGCCAATTCTAATATGGAGGAAATTTATCTTCACGTGTTTGAGTGATTCCAGAGAAATGAAATAAAAAGTATACAGGACCATGTGCAAGTGAATATATAAGAACAATAATGCATTTAACATTATTAGATGAGTTGACAAAAATATAGCCTGTTTGGGTAACTGGGTAAAAACTGCATCGACCTATAAATAGTAGAGGATGAGTATTTCTATGTTGTCCTTTTAGAATAATAGAGCTGTCTGACTTTGCATTTCTGAGGCAGTAGGTGGTAGGGTTGACAACAAAAATTGACAAATATAGTTTCTATCAATCAAAAAGAGAACCGTATTAGTGTAAATACCAATGGGATGTCCATATTCTCTAGTTGGCTCACAACTTTGCACAGCAAAGACACATCCACAGTGCTGCTAGTGGAAAAAGTTGGTCTGGAGCGGTCTATAAATACATAACTCTTTAAACTTAATCCCGTCTTTTCCAACATTAAAACTCAACTCATTTATTTACATTGCATAGTTTCTATTTATCTGTATGTATGTCAATAATTTCCCTGCCTTTGCATTTTTCTCTCTCACTCCTTTAACTGTCTTGCTATCCATTCAGTATACTTTTCTCCTGCGTTCAAGCAGGAGAGAACTAATGTGTAGCATGATAACAGAAAATGTGCATTTAACAATGTTCAACAGCACATGAAGCAGTCATAACTAAATCAATGCAGACTGTGTACAGACCGCAATGTTGATAATTTGGTGCAGTGAGATGAGACCACACACAAGCCCAGCTGATGTTTATTACAGACAATTTTTCATTCACTGATAAAATGTAATAGTTGTGTGTTTGTGTGTTAAAAAGAGTGTGCATTTATGGTGATGTGGTCATTTTGCAGCCAGATAGCTTGCTGATCTATAGTATCGATCTGGCCGAGGAAGGACAAGCAGAGAGAAAGAAGGGAGTAAAACAGAGCAAAAAGTGTGTGTGTGTGTGTGTGTGTGGGGGGGGGGGGATAAATGGCTGAGTTTAAAACGTCTTCAAACAGCTATGATGAACAGTTAAAGGAAAGGAAATACAGAAAGTACAAAAACAAGATATTACTTTTTCTCAATTGTCTTCAAACAACCAGTATTTTCAGGTGCAATAGGCACTATCTATACAACTATGAATACTTTTATATAAAAATCTCCATTTGTGTTATTTTAACAAAAAAAAAAAAAGCTAAAATAACCACCCTACCAAGGTAGCAAGAGTGTCTGCATTAATGACATAGCAAAATACAGAACAAGAACATTCTCAGCTTGGCTAAAGTCTCCCAAAACTCAAGTTTTTCCTTGATACCATTGACAGCAGCCATTTTCAAAGTTCAGATGTCGGTCTGCATCAGAACCCAACAAGTCAATCCAAACCTATCCTGCATGTTATATTACATTGAAACACATTGGTAAGATGCAATGAAGTGTAGGTTTACTACACTGCTCACAAAATTAAAAGGAACACTAAAATAGCACATCCTAGTCCTCAATTAGTTAAATATTCTCATTGACAAACTTTGTTATTAGCACAGTGGAATTGATTAGAGAAGAAAATAAGACAACAATTATCAGAGTCAGTCAGAGTCAGAGTCAGAGTTTCTTTATTGTCATTCGCACCTCATGTGGTACATGTGGTGGAGCGAAATTATGTACACAGGGTCCCAGTTACATCCAACAATAAAATGTATAAGAAAAACAGTAATAACATCTAAGATATGAACTAAGAAAAACCTCAACTAAATATACACTAAGCACCCATAACATAAAAACATTGAACATCAGCACAAACATGAACATGAGTCTGTGAGCAGATGTGCACGCATGAACACATCAACATTGAAACAGATCAGCAGCAACATGAAACAGATCAGCAGCAACATGATATGGTTTTTCACAGTGATTATTCTAGTTAGAGATTCATGAGTCTAACAGCCTCAGGGTAGAAGCTGTTCCTCAGTCTAGTGGTTCTACACTTAATGCTCCTTAACCTCCTTCCTGAGGGGAGTGGGGCAAAAAGTGTGTGTGCTGGGTGGGTGGGGTCCTTCATGATGCAGGTGGCCCTCTTCCTGCATCTGGAGGTGTAGATGTCTGTGATGGTGGGGAGACTGACTCCAACAGATTTCTGTGCAGCCTTCACCACTCTCTGCAAAGCTTTTCTTTCTGCAGCTGTGCAGCCTCCATGCCACACATTGATGCTCGAGCACAGGATGCTCTCCACTGCACACCTGTAGAAGGAGGTGAGGACTGAGCTTCCCAGACCAGCTCGTCTCAGCCGTCTGAGGAAGTAGAGTCTCAATGATTTACATTGATTTATCAATGTAAATCAAAATTATTACACCATGGAGATGTGGATTTGGATTCATACTCAATATGAAAGTGGAAAATAACATGACAGGCTGATTCTACGTCACTGAATATTCCTCAAGACAAGTGTAAATGAGGCTCAGTAGTGTGTGTGGCCTCCACATGTCTGTATAACCTCCCAACAACGCCTGGGCATGCTCCTGATGAGATTGTGGATGTTCTCCTGAGGGATCTCTTCCCAGACCTGGATTAGAGCATCAGTTAGCTCCTGAACAGTCTGTGGTGCGATGTGGCCTTGGTGGATTGACCTAAACATGATGTCCCAGATGTGCTCAATTGGATTCAGTCTGGGGAACGGGCAGGCCAGTCCATAACATCAATGCCCTCATCATGCAGGAACTGCTGACACACTTCAGCCACATGAGGCCTAGCATTGTCATGCATAAGAAGGAACCCAGGGCCCACTGCACCAGGTCTCACAATGAGTCTGAGGATCTCATCCTGGTACCTTATGGCAGCCAGGGCACCTCTGGCTAGCACATGGAGGACTGTGCGGCCATCCAAAGAAATGCCTCCCCACACCATGACTGACCCACCACTAAACCGGTCATGCTGGAGGATGTTGCAGGTAGCATAACATTCTCCACGGTGTCTCCAAACTCTGTCAAGTCTGTCACATGTGCTCAGTGTGAACCTGCTTTCATCTGTTAAGAGCACAGGGCGTCAATGATGAATCTGCCAACTTTGGTGTTCCCTAGCAAATGCCAATCGTCCTGCACGGTGTTGGCCTGTAAGCACAGGCCCTATATGTGGACGTCGGGCCCTCATACCACCCTAATGGAGTTTGTTTCTGACAGTTTGAGTGGAAACATGCACATTAGTGCTGGAGGTCATTTTGTAGGGCCCTGGCAGTGGACCACCTGTTCCTCCTCACACAAAGGACGAGGTAGTGGTCCTGCTGTTGAGTTGTAGCCCTCCTACGGCCTCCTCCATGTCTCCTGGTGTACTGGCCTGTCTCCTGGTACCTATTCCATGCTCTGGACACTGTGCCGAGAGACACTGCAAATCTTCTTGCCACCGCTCGCATTGATGTTCCATCTTGGATTAGCTGCACTACTTAAACAACTTCAGTGGGCTGTAAAAAAAAAAAAACGCCTCATGATGCCTCTATGCGTGACAGCACTGACAAAATAAAAACGTGACTAAAAGTTCAACCAGAAAGGACGAGAACAGAACAAAAAACTTGTGGTCACCACCTGCAGAATCACTCTTTTATAGGGGTTGTCTTGTTAATTGCCTCTCATTCCACCTGTTGTGTGTTCAATTTGCACAGCAGCAGGTGAAACTGATTCACAATAAGTGTTACTACCTAACTGGTGACATTGATTCCACAAAGGTGTGACTGATTTGGAGTTATATTGTTTTGTTTAGGTGTTCCCTTTATTTTTTTGAGCAGTGTACTTCTCTGTCTTCTTTAAAAGTATATGCAGTGAGAGTTGCACGGGGCACGTGAGAGAGATAGCAAGCCTGTGCCTGTGTGCTCAGTGTAAGAATCCATGTAAATCGCTTTGGCATAGGACAACTAGCTGTCGAGGATGTTTTTTTTTTTAATTTATTATTAAATGTACAGTGTAGGCTGCAGTAACAGCATTAAATGATACAAGTTAAACTGAGACACACATTTGTTATAATTTTGAGCAAACAAATAATAGCTTTTAAGTTTTAATCTTGTTAAATTCTTGTTAAAGTCCTCCCGTGCATGCTCCCGCGGCCTCTATTTGGCAGCCAATTGATTTTTGGCACAACACCGGCCCATGTTTCCGAGTGGTCAGCGGTGACGCATAATAGATGTGACTTATACGGTGAAGTGACATGTTTTTGTTTTTTTCCTCACTTTATTTGACATATCTGGACTGATGCGATTTATACAGCGGTGCAAAGTGTACGGCGAGAAGTACAGTAATAAGCTTGTATATGCAGTTAAATGAGTTTGGGGTTTTGTCATATATTACTTATGAGCTTTCGTATAAGAAAGTTGAACTTTTTCTCCTTCCCCCATTTAGCACTTGCCTATACTGCCTATGCCACGCGCCATTTCCGTCTCTGTGGACATTTTCTACAAACAAGCTCTACATTTGTTAGCAACTTAAAGTCACAAACAACTTTAAGCAAGAAATTTTACTGAAGTACTTGTTAACAGGTAGAGAGGGCAGACACATGAATTTGGGGAGAAATATCAATATTCTGCAACCTGAACGTGAATATTAAAGGACTGCTGTATTGGTTTATAATTTACTTTTTTGGCAAACTCATTATGCATGAATTCAACTTAATCATTGAAATTATTTACCTTAGAAAAAAAAATCTACTAGGCTTTTTAAGCGAGGCTCAATTGAACCAAAAAATGAGGACTTTAATGATTTTATGTTTTGAATAATAAAAATTAACTACTGCCAATAAACTGAAATATGGTGATAAAGTAAAGCCTTGTCTCAAATCTGATAAACTGTCATTAACATGAAATGTAATAAAAAAATATGTAACCGCCGTAATATTGTTCAGTTTACAACCAGTGCATAAATATTTTTTTGTTAATCTTGTAGACTGTACAGAAGTAAATGTGTGCTGTTTACCATTAAGAACTCTACAAATCTGTTTTGTTTGCATTTGAGCGTGAGCTTTTTCTTTTAAGTACTTGAATAAATTTATGGTCCAGAGCAGAATATTTTGTGACTTTAAACTAAAAGTCTTGACAACCAAATTTATTCAACTTTACTAAACATTTTTCTGCTTTAACTTTGCTACTGTTCTAATGCAGTGGTTCTCAAACTGGGGTGAGCCACTGCTTGGGGGTCCGCAAAAATAAATACATAAATCAATAATTACAAGCATGCTGATGTTTAACAACCTGTTAAAATACACCAAAATGCAGGAAATATCTACTTTATTCAAAAATTTTTGAGGGCGAACCCCCAGATACCCCACACCTACATTTTGTCAATTAAGTGTGTCTTGAATGAAAAATACTCCATGTTTAAAAGTAAAAAAAAAAAAAAAACTGTATTAACTCTATTAAAGAACAGGTCTTAAGTATTTATGTTACACAAATATTTCCATTGCATTAAAGAGATAAATTGAATAAAATTATTTAATAAACATGAAAGTTATGAGGGGGTCCCTGAAACTTTTCCTCCGTTGTAATGGGCCCCTGAACACAAAAAGTTTGAGAACCCCTGTTCTAAAGAACCCTGTGCATGGAGTGTACATATGAGCGAGTCAGACTGAGTGAAATTGAAATGCATTTCCTTCTGAAGTCATTCCTTGTGTGACAACAAGCAAGAAAGTCCAGCAGAGACAAATAGATGGATCTGCTTCTCCTCTATTTAGCGCTCTGCTCCCAACGTCTGCCGGGCTATTTCTCATTTCATTAGTGTGGGTGTGTGTGCAGCTGGAAATCTCTACCATCCATCTCAATCAGCATTGTGTCTTCATCTGCTGTCCATCTACATTTTAGCCTCATTCAGTTTTTTTTTTCTTTCTTCCCACCGCACAAACACACAACTGAATGAACTAAATACTAATTAATTACAGAATTCATTTTCTGGCCAATATTTTGTTCATAAGGTGGAGGAAATCACCCTCTTGTGCATGTGAGGCAAAAACAGCAGCTGTAAGTCCCTTTAGAGCATCGTTCTATGCTGTTAACTAAGACCTTAACTACCATGACACACCATGATAAAACATTAAAGTCACTATTGATTTCCTCCACCTCTGCCAAATGTGAGTGTGTGTGTGTCAGCTAGTCTTGGGTAGCAAAAGTTGTGGGGGTGGGTGTGCCTGAAATGAATTGAGAAAGAGGACAAGGGACAAACAGAAGCCAAGGGACAGAAAGGAAAAAGGAAAAATACAGCAAAATGCATTACAGCAATTGCACCATAAAGTAAACCACAGATGAAGAAAAGACAAACAAGGACTGAGCAAGTGTGTGTGTGGATAGGTGGAGTTGTACTTGTGTGTGTAAGGGGGAAGAAATCTAGCTTCATCACCTCTAAATTGAGGACAGATTCAATTATTTGCAGAAACCACATGGAAATCACTTCGCATTGTTCCAGCTGGAGCACCAAATTTGGCAGCAATCACATTGGCGGCATTGGAGGGGCCATTTATCTTGAAGGGGAAAGAGCATCTCAGGCGCTGTATGCGTATATGTATGTGTGTATGCGTGTGTGTGAGAAAAAGAGAACTCATTTATCTTTCAGGGGAATGAGCAGGGGAACGAGGACGCCCTGGGAGGCGACCAGATCATTACCCATCTGGGATCAGAGACAGAGAGAGATTTCACTAACGCTACCCTATGGAAAGCAACCCCCACCTGACACGCATGCACATGCTCGCACACACACGCACACACACACACACACACAAATGTACAATGTATCAATGTAACAAAAGGAGACAAATCTCATTTTCATTTGAGGATGGAAGACCACAGAAGCTCCACAAATACGTGCATTTATAGCGAGCGGCGAGGAGTGAGGCAGGGAATTGTTCCAGCCAGGCAGCTGACTGCTTGTTCCACTGCAATCATTCAGCATCTAGTTGGCTTCCTTTAAATGGATACTTAGATTATAGCATGTTCTGCTTCAGGTGCCTGCTAAAGCCTCCACTAGAACATCATGTTACAACACTCACCCATATTTCTGCCAAATTACAAGTCTGACTGAGACAAATTTCAAAATGACAAAAAAAATTTCAAAAAGAAAAAATCTCACTCATTTTTGTACAGTTAATTTTATAAAGTGTTGAAATGATATTAGCTGCTTTTAAATTGACAACTTGACGGCTAAAATTAGCAGCCTTGTTAGCCACTAAGGACTGTGTCTTTAGCGATATGATAAGCTGCCGCTTTATTAATATCGTGCTACCTCTCACTGTTCCTCTCATAAGGTACAGCATGAGACTAAATGAGTTTTGACCCGTGGTTTGTCTCAGGGAAGGAGGCTGAAGTCAGACTGCAGTCTAAGCTGCAGTTTCACACACGCTTCATACTCCAGCTTCATACAACGCTGTTTTCAATGGTGACAAAGATTCATAGTGCCAACCTTTTGTTGGGGCTTGTATTCGGCATTGTCTACAGAAAACATTTTTCTGCTGCTCATCTGACAATTTAAATCCAAACCATCGCCAAATGACAGCCAATGTTTTCCTTTTTGCTCAGCAGCTAAGTTGCTCTTCGATATTTCCCGGTTACTTGTGCTAAACTCGCACCCACCTTCCGAAGCAGGAAGCGGGGGGAGTGCGCGTGAGTGAGGGGCTGGATTCAGAGAGGGAGGAGGGGCCACGTGAAGTTGGCACAGACGGGAGAAAAATACATTTTTTTCAAATCTAATAATACTCGATGGTTGCAGTAGAGCCATTTCAACCATCGTAAATTGAAAAACTCACAATACATTGAGTATATTCGATACATTGCTCAGCCCTACAAGGGGTTAGCCAAACATCATCAACACACCCCTCCATGAAATCGTAGGATTGGTGTTTCACCAGTTGGGAACACTGCTCGCACCTGGGGCGCACCGTACATCAGAAAGCACGGCCCACCCTGCTCTGTTTTCATTGGGTAAAACTATGACTGTGGTTCTTTATTTGTTAAAAGCAGCATCAGTTTTATCCCTAAATCAAAATTAGATTGGATGGCTTTAAAACAATCCCAACAGAACACATTCTTTTTCACTCCTATTTTTACAGACGACGGAAATCTGTTCTGGCTATGTTCAAAATGGCAGAAATCCATTGTGGCGATGGAGAACTGTAATCTCTGGCAACAAGAAGAGAGAGACTGTGCAGAAGGAGAAGTGTTAGACAATTTTGTGTTACCTACTTTTCAATCTCGCTGTTTTTACAGGTGCGTGGGGCACATGAGGAAGAGGAAGAAGATGAAGGAGTGCTTGGGTCGGTCTTGCTGCTCTCTCCGTTGCTTGTGGAAGGCATCTCTGTAAACACACAGGTAATATGGTTAGTGTTAAATCTCTTCACTGTGTGCATCAAGAATGCTCGCTACATGTATGTATGCACAGATTCAAAAGAAACGAGCCATTTTTGCCTTTACAACACATTCTTTGTAACCTTTACATAATATCAGGTAAAACCATTTATGAATGCACGTGTGTTTTGGTCTAACCCACCATCACTGGCCCATTTGGAGAATTCAGGCGTTATTCTGTTAGAAGGCATCCCACCACTACGACAAAGAAACACAAGAGTCAACATGAGTGGTGTCTCTCAGGTGCAGTCCGTGCTGCAAACAGTTTAAAAGTGAAGTTCTGAGCGGCTGAGCATTCATACTTGAGCACAGCTCCTCGTAGCGCCTCCCTCTCCCTGGCCTCTCCTTGGTCCTCACCAGCGCCAGAGCAGGGGATGATATCGGCTTCAGTGTATTGGGCTTTACCGTACTCCAAGGTGTCGTCTCCATCCACGTCGAGGTCTGCGTCGCTGTCGGCGGCGCTCTCCTTGATGCTACATGTTGCAAAGCCTGATCCTGCAGAAATAAAACCATTCTTAAGTTTGTTTTTTAAACTTTAAACAATGCTTTGGTTTAATATACTGAAAAAGAGTTCAACGGGTTTTTCACAAAACAATTCTGGGCGACTGCATCTATGAACCAGTTGTTAAGGTGCAATCAGTTGATCACAGATAAACCAGTCAAGTCGAATCTATGACAATCGGTGCTAAAACAAACAAAACCACAGAGCCGATGAGTGGTAGCAGCATTACTTATCGCATTATGCTCCTATACTTGAAAACAATTGTTTCAACGTTATTTTACATTCTATTTACTTTTTTGTTTAAAATAGAATCTCAAGTAAAAATACAAATGGCTTCATCCTTTTTGCTAAAAAGCTTTATTCAAGTGCAGTTCATTTACAATCTTGAGAAAACTTGTTTTTATTTCACTTCACCTGCAGCTCTGCCTTTAACAAAATGTTTCAATTTGTAGATGGATAAAAATAAACCTGCACAGAATAAAAAAAACCCTAACATATTCAGCCACATTAAACACAGTTGTTTAACTACTGTACGTTCCCCTCCAAACCAAATAAAAAAAATTGTATACAAGATGATGGATGAGGAAAAGGATGTTTTATTTAAAAGACAATATTTAAAGCTAGGGTGAAGAGATGAAGACTGCCACTTTGCCCATCAATCTTTGAGAAGCAGGAGGAACGTGTGTGTGAATGGCACTTCTATAAACCAAGTGATGAACGCTCAGACAAACCCTTACCGCTGCCTGACTGCTCCCTTCAGCTCCACTTACCCACTGAGCTGGCTGTGTGTGTGTCCATCACTTACAGGTGTCTTTTCCATGTTTGTTTGAGCCTGTCTGTCCCTCTGTCACTTAGGCCCTGTCTCTCCAACCCTTTGAAAGTGTGCATGTGCGAGTGTGAGCCTGTCTGCCTGTCATTTAAACTAAGTCTACTGCACAAAGGTAGGTCTGTGTGCATGTGTGTGTTTGTGTTCAACAGTGTATATCACTAATAACTTTACGATTTAATCAGAGTGTGTGTGTGTGTGTGTTGTGACTGAAGCCGTCAGGGTGTGCCAACCACTGACAGGTCTGACAGCCGTCTTATTTACACCTATTCCAATTTCTACAAGCGCTCAGGTGAACTAGTGTGCTGCGTATGAGTGTGAGAGCAGACAGCGGTGACACCCCTCCTGTTTAACCTGCCGGTCCCTGGGTAGGAATCTTGATACTACACTTCTTATAACAGTTGCTATAAGGAAACTGCATCTTACTTTACTCTGGTGTCTTTGTCAAGGTGCAAATCAGTTGTCTGAGCTTACAGTTTATGTAATGTTTATTATAAACACCTGTTTTGCATTTTTTCTACACATTAATTCTGGAACTTGGGTTAGGTGTGGGGCAGCACGGTGGCACAACTGGTAGAGCTGCTGCCTCTCAGCGAGCAGGTCCTTGGTTCAAATCCCTGTCCAGGGGCCTTTCTGGGTGGAGTTTGCATGTTCTCTCCGTGCATGCGTGGGTTTTCTCCGGGTACTCCGGTTTCCTCCCACAGACCAAAAACATGCATGTTAGGCTGATTGGTAACTCTAAATTGTCCCTAGGTGTGAGTGAGAGAGTGAATGGTTGTTTGTCTCATTTGTCTCTATGTGTCCCTGTGATGGACTTGCGACCCGTCCAGGGTGTACCCCGCCCCTCGCACAGTGATTGCTGGCATGGGCACCGGCGACCCCCATGACCCAAAATGGAATAAGCGGGTAAAGATAATGGATGGATGGATGGATGGGTTAGGTGTCGAATGACTAAGGCCCTGTTTACACAACGAACCAGAAAATTGAATTTTTTTCCTCATTCCTAATCACACATTTAGATGAAACCGTTCTAACTACAATATGTTTACACAGCAATGGTAGATGTGGAAAAGGTGTAATTTCTTTGCCACGCCACTAGTCAGGGCTATGTTCTTTGAAAATTTAAACTCTTAAGTGTTCATGCATTAAAAACAAAGTTCTACCTGAAAGCCGCTACAACTGTCAAGATGGCAGAGAATAACATATTTCTATGGACAGAAGATGAGGTTCAACTGTTACTTAGGGTGACTTTGAATTATAAAACCACTAAATTCCAAGAGAACATTGACTGGGAATCATGACAGTCTATTGTCAGAGTTTCTTTATTGTCATTCGCACCCCATGTGGTACATGTGGTGGAGCGAAATTATGTACACGGGGTCCCAGTTACATCCAACAATAAAATGTAAAAGAAAAACAGTAATAACATCTAAGATATGAACTAAGAAAAACATCAACTAAATATACACTAAGCACTCATAACATAAAAAACATTATGTCGAGCATCAGCACAAACATGAACATGAGTCCGTGTAAGCAGGTGAGCACACATGAACACATCAACATGAAACAGATCAGCAGCAACAAGATGTGGTTTTTCACAGTGATTATTCTGGTTAGAGATTCATGAGTCTAACAGCCTCAGGGTAGAAGCTGTTCCTCAGTCTAGTGGTTCTACACTTAATGCTCCTCAACCTCCTTCCTGAGGGGAGTGGGGCAAAAAGTGTGTGTGCTGGGTGAGTGGGGTCCTTCATGATGCAGGTGGCCCTCTTCCTGCATCTGGAGGTGTAGATGTCTGTGATGGTGGGGAGACTGACTCTGACAGACTTCTGTGCAGCCTTCACCACTCTCTGCAAAGCTTTTCTTTCTGCAGCTGTGCGGCCTCCATGCCACATGTTGATGTTGGAGCACAGGATGCTCTCCACTGCACACCTGTAGAAGGAGGTGAGGACTGAGCTTCCCAGACCAGCTCGTCTCAGCCTCCTGAGGAAGTAGAGTCTCTGATGAGCTTTCTTGATCAGGCTGGTGGTGTTGTTGCTCCAGCTGAGGTTGTCATTCATGTGAACACCCAAGTACTTGTAGCTGGAGACCACTTCCACTGCAGATCCTCTTATGTTCAGGGGGGCATAGGTGTTTTTGTTCCTTCTGAAGTCCACAATCATCTCCTTTGTCTTCTTCACATTGATGTGAAGGTTATTCTCTTTGCACCAGCTCTCCAGGTGTTCCACCTCTTGCCTGTAGCTGGACTCATCACTGTTTGTGATGCATCCCACCACCGCTGTATCATCTGCAAACTTTACAATGTGACAGCCTATTGTCGATAGTTTCTTCTTCGGTGGATTGTAGGAAGCTGTTATGTTTTGCGTCATACTGTGCATGAGCCAGGGATTCCCTGACAGAAAAGATCTATTTTTTTTCTGTTTATATGACAAAGGACATTGGGATGTTTTTGAACCATTGCACTCTGGAACACGTTCTCAAACTGTGTCGTTGTCAGAAAAAACATTCGCTATTTTCGTGTAAATGAACAATACAAACACAACAAAACTCTTCCATTTTCACCAGAAATCGTTTTCGTGTAAACAGGTCCTAAAACCCATACTGATTAAATATGCCGTAAATTCTAAGGTTTTAGTGCTCAAGCAATTTTGTTTTAATTTTTCTTTTGTTTTTGTTGTACAGGGAAACAATCAAAAGCAAAGCAACAACTGTTATTATTTTTGGATGGGGAAACTTATGTGCACCTAAACTCAGATTTTTATACAGATGGACATTTGCAATTTCATAATGGCAAGAGTTCCAATTTTCCTCAAATTAATACAAAGATTGAACCGTAAGTACTTTGAAAGATGATGCACTGCAGGGTTTGTAATGTACCACAAACCACTTAGCAGAGTGTTAACTGCTTTGCTGCTTAACAGAAAACTCAGATAAGAAACCTTGCAGGAAAAGTGTCAGTCTCTCTTTTTTTTTTTTTGGTCAACAAATTGAGCACATATTTGACAATTTCAGTGGATCGCTTAAGCTTAAAGCTTTTACCCAACATCCTTTGTGTATAAGTTGGTGGCTACAACTAATGTAATGGAGTTCCTCAAGACTTCAACACACTCAGGTCAACATGTTTAAAACTCTTGTTGCTGTTGTATTTTTTTTTACAGTGTAAACTGTACTTCTCATGGCTTTTAAAATGGGATGTTTTAGGTGTATGGTTGTTAAACTACAAATGACAAAACTATCGGCACAGTACTGCACAACTTATTAAGGGCATGGCTGGTAAACAGAGTGCTTCATATTTTTATATAATTTACATGCAAACTTTTTCTTTTTCTTCTAGCTGCTCCCTTCCTTAAGGGTCGCCACAGAGAGCAAGCATGCATAAAGATAAAGCAGTTGTTTTTACATTGGAGGCCATTCCTGATGCAACCAATTCAATTCAATTCAGTTTATTTATATAGCGCCACAGACTACCGAGCTACCACGGCCTACATGTGTAGAGCAATCAATTCCATATTAAAATCCCTGATATTCTTTAAATCAAGCATTTTGACTTTGGTAATAATTTCTTGATTAGATGTCAGGCTTAAAATTATTGTATTCCTTTATCTATTTCAATGTATAATCAAATGTTCTGTACATTTTCACACAGTTGAAAAATAGTTGAATAAGACCATTACAAGATTATTTGCTTAAGGCAGGCTACATAATTTTCTCTTCTGTTTACTCTAAACAATTGGTTTTCTTTATATCTTGGGTTAGCTGTAATAAGCAACACTGTGCATGGGTAGGTAATTGCATTAGTTTATTTTCTTTCAATTAAAAAAGTACTGCAGTGTGACTTATGATAAAAGGGTATATAGCTTTAATGTTAAAAGACTGGTGTATATTTTTTGAATGGGAAAATCATTAAGAGGCCAGGACCAGCTCACACTAAACAAATCCTCCAATTTAATATGGACACAAAACTGTAGTATTTTGTAAGTGCTTGTCATGATATATTATTTCATCTGTTTTGACCAAGCATCCTGCTAGAGATTTACACATCTGAGTTGGGTGTGGTGATCACCACAGTTAAAGGTAAACTCATTAAGAGGCACAGCCGTCTGAACACTCAATGCATGTGGTCCCTGATGATTAGGCTGCATGCTGTCAGCTACAGAAGAACACATG